AGTAAAGGGTTGCTCGGGGCGTGCCCCCCACCTTCTTTCCCTCTTCCATTGCTTCGACACCGCCGCAAGATTCGCTTGCGGACAATGTTGCATCTCGGTCGGACATGTGTCAACCCCTACAGCCGTCCAATTTCCACGCTTTTTCTGTGCATTTCTTTTGCCAAATATACGACGACAAACCCCCTCGAGAGAGAGAGAGAGAGAGAGAGAGAGAGTTTACGATCACTGGAGAATGTTGCAGAAGATCGATGGCCCGTCCTCTGTCCTCGTACACGTGACGATAATATTTCCTGCGCGCATACCGGAAATTGATAATCTTTTTCCGGTATGCGGCCGACGCGTCGTTTTTTAACATTTCTGACATTTTATCGAAATTGATAATAAACGGCGTATAAAAATAACAATGAAGCCGGGAGGATAAATAAATTTTTGCATCCAAGTTTGGAACGCGTTGTTTCGACACGTGTCTCGATAAGAGCGTCCTTCGTCGGGAAAAAACGATGGTATCGAAAAACGGGTTAAAGCTGAGTAAACATCGATCGGAAGATGATTCGAAGATAAAGATTCGGTCGGTGTTATATTTAAGGATGGAAGAAAGAGACGTTGACAGAAGACAGCGGGCAAGCGTCTCTACTTGTGGAAAAGTTATCTGAAAGTACAAGTGCAAGCTTGGTTTTGTTCCTCACTAGTTCATTCGCCAGGCCAGATTTGTTCGAGGTCCACCTGCGGACCGGACTCCTGTCGACTCCATTGTGCAATAATGGCTGCCTATCTGGTTGTGATCAGTAGCGAAAAAGTGTCGTCACTTGGTCCTGGCGATGATCGCTTTACGACCACCATAAACCGACACTTTATGCAGCTTGTGCTCACCTCGGCACGATGCATTGTGAACACAACGCTCCCTTCCATTCGGATCCTTTATAGATTTATGGTATGGACGTACGCCGCAAAAGCATGCCGAGAATCTTGGAAGAGATGCTCGGTCCCCCTCGTTATCACGTGCTTCCTCGTCGCGGGCCCCTCCACGCTTTGATACGCTCTTTGCAAATCTGAGTCCGCCCCCTTTCAGCGGGATCAAAGAAACCCTAATAAACCGTGAAAATTTTCACTTCGAACTCCTTTCGCCTATTATTACGTTACTCCAACCGCTTCTCCGGGCTATTCTGAAAAATAAAAAAGAAAGTTTCGATTGATTATTCTCGAGGAACGCGATTCAAACGATTTTTACGAGTCGAAAGGGATCGAAAAGTTGGACAATTTACGATTGAAATCAAAATGATTACCCTCCAATTGATTTGTATCTGGAAATCAAATATCATTTAAACAATGCGCGAAAAAGAGTGGAACGATTTTTAACGGAAAAAAATAATCCTCGATGGAAGAAAAATTTTCGATATAAAAATCAAATCGAAAGGATCTTTCAACGTTTAATGTAAATAATTTTGCAACGAAACGAGTACAGATTGGAGATGAGGGATCGTACGTGCCTACGGTGTTACACGACGATTTGTGAAACTAGATGCCCTCGAGAGAGTACCGTAGGATTGACGAAGGCTTTCCTCGATGGCATGAGGCAGCCCCCAGGGACGGCCACAAAAGGTGCGTAGCCTCGATCCTCTATCCTCGGAACGCAGGGTTGATTTATGAGTGGAGGGGAGGGCGCATGCGCGCCAGGCCACAGGATTCACTGGGGTCTATCCCCACCTCCATAGAGAAACCCGGCAGAGCATTCAGCCTCCTCCCTTCTTCCTTGGTTCCTTGTCCACTCGGTTATTAAAACCGAGGCGACACGGTCGGCAACTAGCAATTATCTGGCGAACGCTCGGAGCCGCGCACACTCCGATCTGCGACACACTATCTCTCGAGTAGTATTTCTTTCGTTCCTCGTTTCTTTTCTTTTCTTTTCTTTTTTTCTTTTTCTTTTCTCTCTCTTTCTCTCTCTCTCTCTCGTAAAGTTTTAAAGTAGCACCAGTGAAACGAGAAAAATTCTGTAAAATTATTTCGCAACGACAATACACGCGGACACGCGCCGAAGAGGAGTATAATTACTTCTTGCGAGCGAAACCGCATTGAAAGTGAAGTGATGGCACAAGTGATGCAGTATCAACAGGTCCGTAACAATGAATCTGTGTGAATGTAGAGTTGTTTCGTAAACGCGGTGTAAAAGAACAGTGTCAAATGTGATGATCAATCTTCTCGATCAATCGATCAATGTGCAATGGTTATTATTCAAAAAAAATAGAGATGGGATCGTGTCGCGAGAAAATTTCGAAATATTATGTGAATAATAATTTTATATTGTTTCATTTTCTTTTATCGAATATTGGATATATATATATATCTTGAACATCATATGTTTACATTCAACAGCTTTTTTTTTCTTTCAATTTGTATAATTCGAGGAAAGAAAAAGGAAAAGTTATTACGTTATTAATATATGAAGATTTCGATTTCGAATTGACTCGAATTCGCATCGTACTTAACGATCCCATTCCTATTCGCATCAAAGTGACCGCCTCTACGCTACAATTGTTCAAATCATTGAACAGTATTTGAGGGATCGATATATCTCTCGTTTCAAAATTGTATTTATACCCGTTATAGATGTGCATGCCTCCAATGGCGGGGATGGCTGCCGTGTCTAACCTTCCAATGCCGGTGCATCAATCCGCCGCAATCGATTACGGAAGTTCGCCCATTCACTATCAACCGTACAATACCGCGTTGAGCGGTCATCATCATCATCATCATCATCATCATCATCATCTTCAGACGAGCCAGTCCGCCTACTGGTACCCCACTGGTACCACGGGTCACAGCCAAATTACGGAGCCGCTCACGCCGCCGGCGTACACGGCGATGACGAGCGCCGCGACCAACACGACCTCGTGGACGACCCACTCGACCCACCTCCCCCACCAACCCCACCTCATCCCCCCTATACAGCATTACTCGTTGCCACCGAGCCCCCCCGACCTCCCCCCCAGCCCCCAGGACCACCCGTCCCCCTATCAATGGCCCCTCACCCCGCCCGCCGATCACCACTTCCTCCCAACTCCGGATGATCCGGGAAAATCCGGCAGGAAGTGCATAAGATGCCGTTGCCCGAACTGCCAAACGGAGAACGGTGGGAGCCAGCTCGGCTTGGACGGGAAGAGGCAACACGTGTGCCACGTGCCTGGATGCGGTAAAGTGTACGGGAAGACATCCCATTTGAAGGCCCATCTCAGATGGCACACGGGCGAACGGCCATTCGTCTGCAACTGGCTGTTCTGCGGCAAGAGGTTCACGAGGAGCGACGAGTTGCAGCGTCATCTACGCACCCACACGGGGGAGAAGAGGTTCGCTTGCCCTACGTGCGGGAAAAGGTTCATGAGGAGCGACCACTTGACGAAACACGTGAAAACGCACGAGAATCAGAGGAGGAAAAGTTCCGGGGCCAAGAGAGAGTGCAACAAGGAGAATTCGTTGCCCGGATGTGTAGCAGCGCAAAATTCTACGTTTCCCTCGATCGGTGGACAATACTCTATGATTTGAGGGGATAGATGTATGATATTTGGGGAAATATCACTGTCTCCTGTGAGGAGAGAAGGATAATTTTGTAAATAATTTTAATTATCACGAGAAAACGTTCCTTTGCACGTTTCAAATTGTAATTATTGTACATAGAAAATTGTGTATATTTTTGTAAAATATTGTATTGGTTCATTGTACGAATGTACGAAATAGTTGATCTTGATGAAAGAAAAAAAAAAAAAAAAAAGAAAGAAAAGAAAGAGAAAGAGAGGAAAAAGAATATAACGGCAAGCTTGGATTTCAAATTTCGTAATTTTTTAAATCATAATTTTTTAAATATTCGCTAATAATCTGTATCTTTTGTAGGATAGACAAGATCGAAAGGAAAAGGATAAATTTTAATCCCTCGAGGCTCGATACTAGCCCCTGAAAATTCACATAATAACGAATCATTCCCCTGTCGTATATCAGATTCCTCCACGACATCTTCCTGTCATACGATACGTCGTGAGTCCCGCCCAAGAAGCACAATACGATGTTAGGCACTTTAGAAACCAGCCCTTCGCACGATGATTTCCTACCTGGCAGGTGTTTCGATAAAGAGAAAAAAAAGGAAAAAAAATATCATTTCACGAAACCTATCCCTACTAGCTACTTCTTTCGTAACGAAAAATATCTTGTTTTTCTTTTTTTTTTTTTTTTTTTTTTTTTTTTTATTTCTTTTTTAGCAAACACTTTTCGATACATGATATAACGCAGTACTGTTCGAAAAATTCCACGGTAGAATTTCACTCGCTAAGGGAAATGATGGAACGTCGTACGGCACTGTCGAGTCGTTTCATTCGTATTCGTGCCAAGAGATGGCTGCACTGTGAATGGAAAGAGGCCGCGTAGCCCCATTAAGGGGGCGGCGCGCCGTAGCCTCGTAGCCCCGTTGCCCCGGCAAGGATTCATGGCTGGCACGTAGAGAGGTAGAGGCAAAGGAGGCAGACGCGATGATAGAGGTAGAGGAGGCGCGAGAGAGGGAAAGCTAGATAGGGAAAGGAGAAAGAAAAACTGTTTTAAGAGGTAGAAAAGTGAAAGACAGAGAGAGAGATAAGTGGATAGGTGGGCGCCTCGGAGCGGGCAGGAGGGGGGTTACGAAAAAACGGAATGAAAAAAAAAAGGGAAAAAGAAGAAAGGAAAGAAAGAAAGAAAGAAAGAAAAAAGGAGGCAGCCGCGGAGCAAATTATAGGGAAAAATAGGGGAGGGACGAGGCAGAGGAGGCAGCACACCAAGCCTCCGTGGTGTGTGCCACTCGATGGTGGAAGACGATCAGGTGGATGGGTGGAAGGGTAGGAGGGGAGGAGGGGAGGAGGGGTGGCGCCACGGCAATTCCAGGCTCGCGTTCAACGTTCGCCGTGGAGTACCGCGGATAGCCGCGAAGTTAGTACGCAAGAGATTGAAACAGAGTGACGAGGTGGACCCGGTGGTCTCCTGTTTGCCGCCTTCTCTTCGTCTACTTCTCGAGGAAATCACGAGGAAATAGGAAAAATCGCGCGCCACCGATCCGCCGAGGAAACGAGACGACACGGCCGACGAGAATTGGACACCGTTGGGTTGCCGGAAGCGCGATAAAGACCTACTACAGCTTTGTCTAACCGGGAGTGGGAGGGAGAAGAAGGAAGAGAGAGAGAGAGAGAGAGAGACGACAAGTACACGGTATACACGCAACTCTCTCTTACGTGTTACGCGCGGTCAGTGCGAGAGGCTGCGACGTGCCGCGAGCATGCGTCTGCGACGGACGGCCCTTAAGGCGGATACGCACCACGCCGACTCGTCGTCGCCCTTGTCCTCGTCGTCGTCGTCGTCGTCGTCGTCGTGGTCGTCGTCGTTGTCCGTATTCGTGAATGCTCGCTTTTCACCATCGCTGCAGAACGAATGCACGCGCTGATACTGTCCGTGGGGGCAAAGAATGGACGAACAGGTTCGTAGCCGCGCGCATGTCACCGATCGAGTCGAAACAGGCCTCGATTTTTCGATCGATCCGTCGCGCTTGCATTAACCGCGTATCGCGAACGAACCATGCGGATCGCGATCGAGATCGCTCGTTCCTCGCTCTTTTTAAAACATCATTTTGGAAACCCACGGCCATAATTCCTTCGTTTATCATCTCGCATCATGTCGGTAAACATTGGACGGACGGTGACTCAATTTCTCGCACCTGTGTTTAACAACACGAGCCGTTCAAAGAAATCCTCGCTTTATGTGTTGATCACCAGGCGAAGTGCGCGAATTCTGGGAAAAAAATTTCGATGATATATTTACTGCGCAACAAAATTTTCGATGACTTATCCGTGGAATACGTTGGAATTCGCACGCCCAAAGTCGAGCGAAACGGTTTGTTTTGTTTTCGGTCGGCTCGATATCGTTTCTGTTTTCGTACATATTCGAAGGGCGCGCGGTGTGGAAATTTGCCAGTCGAACCGTAGCAGTGACGCAATACACTACTGGCTCGTGGGAAGAATATCTCGTTGATCGGGCAGTGATTATTTGAAGTTTTGTGACACTGTGTGTGTGTGTGTGTTTTTTCCACATCGGTCAGTGGACGCGTGGACCGATCCGAACGTATCGAACGGATAGAATATTCCGTTCGAGTGTTTCTCAAACTGCGTTCGAGCAATTTGTCAAGATTTTTTGGATCCACGAGGTTAATCGAACCGGCAAGCTGGACGCGGAGGTCGGAGGCGGCGGAAGCCGCAGGGGTATAAGCCCTCCAACGCACCTTGGCAACATAAACGTGAGTTTTCCTTTTGAGAATAATATACCTTTTCTCTTTTTCGTTTCTTCAATATTCGTTCAACGATCGTAATTTATCGATCGAGTATTTCGAGTCTGTATCTAAAAAGATTTAACGCGTCGTCAAATATCGTTATGGAAAGAATGGATTCGATGGATACGCGCGATAGATTCATTTCGAACTTTCTTAATTATTTTCTAACGGTTAATTGTTGCGACACGTGTACCGAGGTGAAATTGTTAAAACCTACAATTACGCATGACGTTTCATAAAGTAAACAATTTGTAGAACGACGTATATCGATCATCCATTTATCGAGGACACTTATGTATTTTCCTTGTTTTACCGTAATCGCGATCATTATTCGAAATTGTAGAATAGTAAATTAAATTTCCGTGTCTGCTTGTTCCATTCTAATTCGTCGGATATTTTGTCTAAATATATATATATATATATATATATATATATATATGTTTTATAATTTATAAGGCGTAATTGATATTCCTTGACACGACTAACAAAGAGAAAAAATGCTCGTGATGCTTTAATCTTTCCTTTTAGTTCCGTATACACGATAAAGGATTATTTAATGGTAGGCAATTATCGATAAGAAAATGTAATGGCGTTGTTATTACGGTTTTCTTCGCAAGAAATTTCTTTCGAAATTCAACCCTTGTAGAGGAGAGGATCTATATTGGCAGGATCGGTTATTTAAAAAGTTAATTTTTCTAGGCCAGTTTTTTTTTCTTTTTTCTTTTGTTACTCGAATTTATATCTAGAGAACTGCTAGTCAATCCTAGCCGTAGTATAGTAAACGTTACTATGTTGCTACGCCTGTTTCACGCCCACTATACATCATGCGTTGTGCTCAGGCCTACCTGTCGACGTATATACCTCGTTTCAAAGATGTGTTGCGCGTATTCTTAATAAATTTCCGTAAATCGTAAAAACTCGTTGCGAGATATTTGTCCTTCCTGTAAAAAAAAAAAAAATTCTCCTCTCGCGAATATCTTTATTTACGACGACTAACGAAATTACGAATGTTTTTTCTTGCAGAATCGTTGCGCCGTTAGAGATTCTTTCCGTTTCCTTGATAATTCATCGATGATTTGGAAGAAATACGAATACGAATTTGAAAAAACCGAAAGCCAAAATAGAATCGATTTGACGTTGATTTGGCCAATTTGGACCTGGTAGAGTTTCAGAAATGAATAATATATTGGAAAGGTTGTGAAACCATCTGTAGAGATAGAGGAGGTAGAGTAGGCCATTCGGTCGAGTTGAAACGCGTAGAGCAGACAGTCGTGGGGCAAGAAACACAGTGCCGCCACTTTGCTGACACACCTCCACACAAATCTAATTAATTTATATCCTGAGAGAGGCGCCACTAGGGATACTATGTCCGACAGGAAAAAAGAAACGAGTGAACGAAAGGGTATTCCGTTCCTCTTCCTTTTACGACGAATCAAACAACTTGGCTTTCTTCTCGAGGCTTTCTTCTAACGTGTATCGACTTTGCTTTTTCTTTTCTTTTTTTTTTTTTTTTTTTTTTTTCTTTTCGATTCCTCGATTTTATTGCGCGTGAACGTGCGATAAGCACGCGATTCGAAATTTTAAATCGTTTCAATAATAAATAATAAAATTCTTTCCCCTTTTCCTCTCCCCATCTTTTTTTTTTTTTAACAAGAGAATTGTCCGAGTTGTACAAATGGAATGTTATTTCAACTTTTTTTTTTATTCCAGCAAACTAGATTTTTGCCCGACACTCGCAATTCATCCTTTTGAAAAAAAAGTCATCAGGCTTGAAATTGTAATAATCGGGCGATAAAATTTTGATCGGTATCCACGTTTGTTTACGTATAACAGGAATTTTCTTAACACGTTGAACGCCACTCACTCGTGACCAATCTCGTTATTAATTAAATTCTTTCGTAGATCGATCGAAATAGAATTATTATCATCGATCTTATCAACCGAATAATTAGGCGAATTTTACAAAAGTGTAAAAAGGAAAAACTGTGTTAATGCAATAATCAAATATTTTTATCAAAACATATTTTACTTATCCATTTACATTAATTATTACATACTACTTTATTATATACTATAAATTTAAAATTACGAAAAATATTTTCTATCTATTTATTATAGAAGAAATATTGGCGTTCGACGTGTTGAATATCGTTTCGAAATTCGTTCGAGCGCGAGAAAAAAAAAAATGTGAATAAATTTCACCGTTGCACAGAAGCAGTGGGAAAAGTAAGGAAATAATTATCGTGTTATTAGAGAATAGCGAAACTAGCGAAATCACTCGTTTGACAAGCTCGTCGCACCGAATAACCGAATACTTTGAGAGAATTACAGAATAGAATAGACTCGAAAAAGCACTGCCGCTCCCGTTAATTAACCCCTGTCCCACTGTAGAAAATCTACACGCTCGTCACAACGCTCGCACCCTCATTAGCGGTTCACCCCGAGTGTCGCGTGAACTTTGTGTGCACCTGTACGCGAATCGCCAGTTTGCGAAACGTCACGTTGATTCTCAACTCCGTGTCCTCCGTTCCTCCCTTCCTTCCCCTTCTTTTCTTCTAACCCACCTCGGCCAAAAGATGCCGAGTCGCACGCACCAGATGCAACCGATCTCCTCCGCGAACCAATCGCGAGCAAATCGTTGTTGCAGCTGTCGTAGATTATGCAATCTGTCGATGTCTTCTTTTCTTCGTTTCGAAAGGCGAGGACAGTAGGGTCGTTTATTGAAAAAAAAAAAAAAAAAGAAAAAGAAGAAGGGAAGAAAAAGAAGGGAAGAAAGGAGACGCAACGAGGGTACCGCGTACAATATATCTGTTTTACGTGACGTATTTTTTATTTAAAAATTGTTTGCGTAGCAACAGGAGCGTAGTAAAGGAAAAAAGGGATTATACACGTTGAAGGAGCATTTCTTTCGAATTTTCGCCGCGAACGTGATTGAGATATTACTATTAAATTAAAAGAAAGGGGATTCGAGGGAAATTGTGAAAAATTAATTATATACCCCCTTTCTCCCTGAATAATATGCGCGATTAACATTTTTTTTTATGGGGCGAACGAGCGTTCAAACATTTACGGCTTGCACGGGGAGCACGCGCGCGGAATAAAATAAGCGAATTATGCAGATGAGAGTCCGATTCTGTCAATTTTGATTTACGATCGCCTCGTTTAAAGGCGTGGACGCGACACGGGAGGGGGAGGGGGGAGGGGGAAGGGGGGAGAGTAGAAATATCGCGGGAGAAGAAAATTTTCTTAACTAACTATTTACGTTCCCCTTTAACGATAACTGCGCTATTAACTAACCTCGCGTTAATATCTACGTTTTCTACATCATTATGATAATTGTGGGACCCTAGAGCGGCCCTCGAGGCAACGAAAGGGCAACGAAAGGATCTCTTGCCGCGCTCTTCCCTCAAAACGCGTTTGTAATATATCGCTATATGTTTCGATTCGACTTTATCCCCCTCCCCCTCCCCTCCCGTTCCATCGCTTTCCCTCTCTCTTTCTTTCTTTTTTCGATTGATAAATTACAAAATTTATTCAACGAGTTATAATACGAGCGAGCGAGAAAAGGAAGCGAATAAGCGATAATCGCGAAAAGGGGCGAGCGAAACGAGACGAGAGCAAGTTTGTAACGCCTCTTCCCGTTTATATCGTTCCGAGTCGATTCGATTAATCCCGTCGATCGATACTCATCCTGTCTCCGTCCCTCTCTCTCTCTCTCTCTCTCTCTCTCTCTATCTATCTCTCCCAGAGAGAGATAAATTTATATTTATACCGAGCTATATAAAAGAACATCGTGGAGCATCGAGCAAGGAGAGGAGGAAACGTTTTTAGAAGAAGGAACGAGCATATATATATATATATATATACACGAGTGAATGCATATAATCAGCGCGTTGGGATTAACGGATCGAATGGATTTGGAATCGAAAGGTGGAGAACAACGTGCGACCCCCTTCTTCTTCGATCGATATTTATGTATGTATATATATATATATATGCATACACATACGTTGGAAGCTTGGTTTCGTGCCACGAGCTCGGTTAATAATTTTCCGCGTATTTGGTGCGACCGTTCCACGGAGGAAGCGGACAGAGCCGGTGCGCGATTATTACACACGGTGTATGGAAACGAAAAGAGAGCGGTAAAAACGGCGGCTTGGTTGCCCCCCGGCCAAGACTGGAAGCCGTTTCGTAATCGCGGCCTGGATCATTTTCTGCACGACTGCGCGGGAAATTAGATCACCTACCACTCATCCCGGTAGCGAGAGATCTAGGCAGGTTTCATCGCACGATACGAGAGAGAGAGAGAGAGAGAGAGAGAGAGAGAGAGGGAGGGAGATCTGCTTCTTTGTCCTTCTCCCCCTCCTTCCTCCTTCACCTTTCATCGACAGCTTGTCGCTGGAGATGATAATTTATCCTGTTAGCCACGATTTTTCCCTTTTCGAATAAATCCTCCTCTTTCGTTCTCCCTACCACCACTACCTGTTACTACTCTGTTGCCTGATTAATTTTTTGCTCCTCTCTTTTCCTCCTCTCGATACTTCATATATACCGTGTATACGTACGTAAGTCTCTTCACCGTTATACTCCGACCCGTTATCAATCTTTATCGAACGGTTTATCCACGTCCTCGTCCTCGTCCACTTTCCACGGATTATCCACGCCGCCTATAACTGTTTCTCAATACAATATCTATCGCGAATGATGAAAATAACGGTGTATCACGTGATCTGCGTTATCGATCGATAACAGATCTTTTCCTCTCCTTTTCGAATTTCGAGTTTGAAATCGCCGATGTATCTATCGGCGAGGATATTATCCTCGTAAGGCAACGTTATGGAGAATTGGTCTCGAAAGCGTCTCAAGCGTGGAGAGGAACTCCTCTTCTCCATCCTCCCTTCCTCACGACTTTCTCCCTCGTACGGACGTAGTTGGATCGTCCCCGTCCTCCTCTTCCTCCTCCTCCTCCTCTTCTTCTTCTTCTTCTCGGCTCTGACTTTGCTTTTGGCTTGCTCGGGCCGGGTGTAATCGGTTCCCCGAAGCCAGGGCTCATTATCGACCCGTCGGCCTAGCAATTACCTGCGAAGCCTCTTTCGACTTCGTGTGTGCCAGCCAGCACAGTTTCCGACTCTCCACGAGGCCTTCCGAGATCCTTCGAGGACCTTTCCAACGGAAAGGAAAGAGGTTGAAAAGAGAGAGAGAGAGAGAGAGAGAGAGAAAAGGGAGAGAAGAGAGAAGGGAGAGCAGGAATATCCAGAGAAACGGCAGTCTGTTGCTGCTGTTGTTGCTGCTTTCGAAATGGGGAAACGGTTACGATAATCCGTTACGAAGATGCGGTTGAAGCGATCGTAATTAGTACGAGATAATTGTGATGATGAATTTACTTTAGGAAAAATTTTTTAACATTGCTCGATCGGATTGGACACGGAGGAGAATAATTTTTCACCGAAATAATTGAAAGTTATTTCTCGTTTATTCGATAAGAGAGTGGAAAAAAAAGAAAAAATAACAACTCGAAGAGGAAAGAGAGTATTCGTCGATATAAGAGAGATTCGATCGTGCGTGTTACGTTTTCCAACGCGTGGGGAAATTATTTGCAAGAAAGCTTCGCATTCGCTATCTTTCGAGTATGTCGAGTAGTTGAACATAGTAGCACGCGCTCATGCATATGCATACGTACGCGTTGCATTACGTACGCAGGTATATCGCGGGCAAAGTAACGATAGTCATGGTAATTGCGGGAAGACCTAATTTTACAATTTTACCGTGACGGCAAACAAAAAAGAAAAAGGAAAAAAAAAAAAGAAGAGAGAAAAAGTAATACACCTCATCTATTTCCACCAATCCCTCCATTCCCTCTATCGATTTCTTGCGGTATAACCAAGTATCCAAGAGAGTGCAGCGCAGTTTTTTTTGCTCTTGTCGCGTAAAACACCTCCAGTTTTTTGCCCCTCGCGGTGGTCCAATCGGAATTCGATATAATATCGGGGAATTTTTCAAAGTGTATACACACCGTGGAACCTGTTCCCTGTTGATTCTATCGTTCCCACGATTGGGAGCAGAAAGGAAATCACGAGGATAGGCGAGAGGGGAAAATAAGCGGACAGGCAAGGAGGTGTTAAGCTCGTTAATTGTGTCGAGCAAGAAGGAAAATCGAAGTCACTGTATTCGCGTGATTCGTTCGCGACTTTGGGGAATTTTCTCGCTGGTTTTTGGGGATTGGCCGAAAATTGGCTCGCTTCGTGGAAAAGCGGGAGAAGCTCTCGACAAAAGGCAATTTTACAAATGGCGGACCGCTACTTACCGTGCCAACGTCCAATCGCCTCGATAAACAACAATCGACGAAAAGTTGCAAGACGCGTCCCCCCTTCATCTTTTCTTCTTTTCCTTTTCTCATCACCGTAGAAGAGAGGAAGAAAAAAAAAATATATATTCGAGTTGATCGACCTCCGTTTAATCCCTCCCGAGAGGGATCGAGGAGGGATCGCGTGGCGGTATCAATCGGTGTCATCGGGCATGCGATGAATTTATCGATCGTGCGTTTCATTCGCGAACAACATTAAACCCGGGGCAGGTAGCGGCGAGCAGCAGGTCGATCATTTTCCAGCAACGAACCCATGGTCGGACGAAGCGAAAAGATTATCCTCTTCCCGTCGTTAGTGCGGTTTTACGTCGAATCCAGCCTATGGAATGGATAGTTGGAAAATGGTGGAAGAAGAAGAAGAAGAAGAAGAAGAAGAAGAAGCGGAAAGTTATTTAGAAGTTGAGGAGCGAGTGCACGGAGCTTTCTTCGTCCTCGCGACGATTGTTACGCAATTTTACCGAGTTTCGAGTTTAATTTTGCATCCTCGACGAAAATTTCTCCCCGTATCTCCCCCCTCCCCCCGGATTAATTAACGCAACACCGCGCGCAAATTAACGAGCCACCGCCACTGTTCGAAATCGAGCGGCGTTTCTGTGCAGAGCGGTGGAAAGTAATTAGATGTCATTACCGCATCCCGGCTAACGGGGAGAGAGAGAGAGAGAGAGAGAGAGAGAGGGAGAGAGAGAGTCTGGATTCAGTTTTGTGAAGTGATTATCTTTATTGTCGTTTCCGGCCTGCCTTCTCGGAAATCTCGGAAACGGCATGCAAGCTCGATCCACACCGAGCTTCTTTAACCCCCCTCCTTTCTTTTCTTTCTTTTCTTCCTCTCCTCCTTCTCCTCCTCCTCCTCGCCCATCTACCTACCTCGCTCGTTTATCTCGATTTTCCATTCACCGGCCGATCACTTTAAAATTGCCGTACTGGTAATAGTAGTAGTAAAACCTTAATCCTTAATCCTTTATCCCTGGTCGAATTGGATATATTATTAATTATATAAATCCGAATTCTCCTCGAATCTATACGCCGTGGGATGAAATTAGGTTTCGAGAAAATTTTCAAAACTTCTAATCTAATAACGAACGCGACCAGTTTCGCGACAGCCGGTAATTTTCGCTCGGTCGGCATACGTGGCATATTTTTAATATCGTTCGGTCATATCATATCGGGCCTATACGTGCATATATATATATATATATATCTGAGCCGTGTGCTTAAAGTTAACTCGGGGGCCCCGAGCTGGCGGTTGGAAAGAGAAGTAAGAAAAGGTAAAAAAACGCGTAACCGCAATAAAACTCGCATTACGCCCCGCGTAAACGTGTGCACAAAGCACGTTCGCGTGTGCGGTAACGCGTATAAAATGGTGAAGTTGTTGGCGTACTACGCTCCTCGGGGCAACCTCGTTCCCGGCACGGAACGTAATAGATTTATTTCGGGGAAACCGTTGTCCCCGAGTTGCGTCGACGACTTATCGTCGTCGTCGTCGTCGTCGTCGTCCGCCCCTTGCCCTCCCCCCTTCTTCCAGTAAAATTAAAGAAACGAAGCTAAAATTCGAAATTGCGGCTAGCGTGTCGAAGGTAATTCCCCTCCCCTCCCCTCCTCCCTCCTTCCGTTATTACGCTTTCTATCTCGATCCAATTTGTCGGTGGTTAGAAATGGAAGTGATACGACTTCCGTAATCGTTTCGAGAACAGAGCGTGGAAACGTGGGTGTGGAAGGCGCCAGCAGCCTCTCGCTTACAGCTGGATCGTGTTTCTGCCCGTTCTGCCCGATACCGGTATCCCTTCATTCCTGAGTAATCGTCCCAAGGCCCAAGGCACGCTATCCGCCATTTTCTAAATACCCGTTGCCCGAATATCGGGACGTAATATAACGTGGCCCCCCCCTCTCACCTTTTTTCTCTTTCTCTCTCTCTCTCTCTCTCTTTTTCCGATTAAATTAAATTCTTCGGTTTCTGTTTCAACTTTTTTAAAACGTTCCTTTTTTAAAACGGAAAACGTGATGAATGTGACAATTTGGAATGGAGATTATACGGAGATTATTTCCTGTCGCGAGTATTTTCGCCGAGGAAAGGGGTGGAGGGGAGGAAGAGGGGGGGGTAGTCGCTTTATTATTAGCTTGCTGCCTCGTTACACGATACCCGTGTTGGGCCGCATTCCGGGAAAACGCGGTGCGCGTTGGGCCTCTCTGGATCTCTGGAATTCAGAGAATTTGTTGTCGCCCCGAGTTAATTGCGTTAAACGCGATGAATTTATTGAACAAAGCGGCGACGTGACTGACATCGTCTAAAGCGTCTGCCACTTTCCGGAAATGGAGAGAGAGAGAGAGAGAGAGAGAGAGAGAGAGAGAGAGAGAGAGAGAGAGAGAGAGAGAGAGAGAGAGAGAAGAAGAAGAGAGAGATCAACGTCTCTTCCGCGTAATCGCGAAACAGGCTATATATAACTCGATAACTGCTGCATTCGCCAGTGAAATTATTATTCTGGAAAGGAATAAGGACAAAGAAGAATTCGTGATTGCTTAAATGATTATCCCTTTAGAAAAGAAATATCGGAGAGCATTGTCGAGTGTAAACAAACGTTTTCTCGTTCGCATCGAGGAAGAAGAGTGAAAGAAAGATATTCCCTTCTCATCCTTTTTCTCTTTCCATCGCGAAGATTCGTCGTTTCGTATAATAATAATAACGGAGGATAGTGCAGGACAGTGCGTCAGCACGGCAGAGAGCAGCGCACGCGCATCA